GGAAAGAGGAAATGAAGGGGGAGGGAAATAAAATTTACCCCACAAGTCCTTGTGGATTCCCACTTGTAAAGCTTAAATTGGGTAGAAAAGAAGCAAGGGGTCTTTACAACAAGAAGGAAAAGGGCAATGATGCATGATTGTCATGCATGTTTGAATGAGGTAATGGGGGGGGGGACACTTGAGGCCCAGAAAATCTCCAGTAGCCACTCCAAGCACTAGCTACCTTCTCTCTATCTGTAGAATATCCAGTGGGAAGAAAGAATGGGTAGGCAAGTTGCATAAAAGTTTCTTCACGGGATACTTATGGGTAGCAATTAGAAATGGAAGTGCTCTGAAGAAATATCTGGATTGAAGAGATGACCAGTTTCAGGAATGAGATGAAGCATGGTTTATGACCATTGCTGACTCCCTCAACCCGACCTTTCTGACACAAAGGGCTTCCCCAATATACTCATATGCTTTATGCATACGGATTCCACATTGATTCATGGTGCATTTATTTTGCAAGTCATCTAGCAAAAATCATCTGTCCATTTGCATTTGATATACTGAGCAATAATATATACTAATGGTTCTAATTACAAATTTGACTATATGCAATAAGAATCACTATTGTGCATTCTTAAATATAAATATATGATAGTCTATGCGTCCAGTTGTGGCTCATGGTATCATTCAGGACCAAGCTGTGTGGGTGTCTTATTGCTACCAGAGGAAATGATTCCCAGAGTAGAGATGGGCACAAATCAACTTACAAACCAAATTTCATGATGAACCAAGTCATTGGTTCACAAACTGTGTTTCCTGAAATTGCATTGTTTGTGAACTGCTCATAACCTGTCATGTTTTTGTGGCAGTTTGTTCAATTTATAAGAGGGTTCTCTTTAAATGCCTTCCCTTCACTTTTTAAATGCCTTCCTTTCACTCGCTGAGTTGCACTGTGGCGGTGGCATGCCATAGCAAGTGAAGGGATTTAAAGAGACCTATATGCCTTCCATTCACTCGCTGAGGAATGCCACCATGGCAGCATGCCTCAGCAAGTGAAGAGATGGGATTTTAAAATGCCCCCCCCGTGGAAGCTCCACCCAACTCATGAACCTAATGAACCACAAACCAGTTCAGTAAACTGAAAAGTTCGCAAGGGTTCATAAACCATGGTTCATGGGGTCTGATGAACCACAAATCACCACTTTCCTGGTTCATGCCCATCCCTATCCCAGAGTCTTCAAAATGTGACCTCTGAGCAGTCATCTCCTGTGTTGCTGTTTGTGAAGGGAATATTTTTTGTGGGAGGCTTTTAAAGTATTGTTAGGATGTTGAAGGTGAAATGAAGAATTGCTAAAAGGTCTGGATTTCATTGGGCATGATGGTAAAAAAACAGCTACTGCCTAGGTGTCATATTATTTTATACCAAAGGGAAGAAATTGAAACTATTAGAGCATTTGCCAAAGTGCAACCACAATTTCATATTGTGCCAAGCCACAGAAGAGTTGCAGAACTGTAAATAAATCATGCCAACCTTGATTAGAAGCTGTGCTGGAATATCTGCTCCCAACTTTATTACTTGAGAGTGAGATTCTACCCATTGTTTCCTTTTTCTTTCATGCTCAGAGGATTTATGATGGAATGTTAATGAGATGTGCTGTGCTTTGGATGAGCCACAGAAGAATTGTGAATTAATTTCAGCTCTTTGTCAGAAGCAGCCAAACTTTAAACACACACACACACCAAAAAAACCAACAAAAAACCTCCAGCAGAGAAATTCTAGCTAGTATTCAGTAATTGTTCTGTTATAATCAAAATATGGAGTTCTTATCTTCTGAGCCCTTTGCTTTGTGAATTGTTTGCCATGCTGTTTTTAATCAGGTAGTGAGAAATCGGAGAGCTTTTTGAATTATCAAAGAAAGATGTGAGTTAAAATGGATAAAAGCAAAAGATACTTTGAAAGATAGAAATGAAACCAGGATCATATTATCATTCCGTTTATGCTCTCTTATTTAACTATAATAAGTTTTGTTTGGCCCTTGTCCATGTATCCTTTGTTGGTAAAAAGAATGTTCATGAAGTTAGAAATTTTATGAACTGCATATAAGCCAAAGTCTTTCCTCCTACTTGGCCAAGACTATCAGTGGTGCAACAGCTTTAAGGCTTGACTATTGTAATACACTCTACATGGACAGCACTTGAAGACTATTTGGAAGCTTTGGTTGGTACAAAATGAGGTAGTCTATATAGTATCCCAGGCTAGGCATCAAGAGCATATTATTCTCAATTGCCATGTCTCTACTGACTGCCAAGATGTTAGTACTTACCCTTAAAATCCTTAATGACTGAGAACCCACATAGATGAAGGATCTCCTGTCCTGGTATGCTTGACACAACAGTGCCTTTTCTCTGCTGCCTGCCGCTCTACACACTATGGTATAATTACTTGTTCCCAGTAGGGATGTGAACAAAAAAAAATCAGTATTTTTCAGATTCGGGAATACCAAACCTGAAAAATATTCGTATATACAGATATTCCCATATCCCATACCCAGGGAAAATCAGTATTGTTGGAACCAGTGTTCCCTCTAAACTGTGGAGTCCTGTGAGCAAAAAATCTACTTTGTGAGCTACTGGCATTAAAGTTGTGAGCAGGTGATTTGGCTACTGCATAAATTAGTTTGCTCTGGAGCCATCCTTCCTGAGCTAAGACAAAAATGTGTGAGCTGGAGGCTAAAAAACTGTGAGCTAGCTCACACTAACTCAGCTTAGAGGGAACACTGGTTGGAACTATTTGGCTTCTTACCCCCTTTTCTCCCCAAGTCATTCATCAGCAGTGGTTGCAACCAATGTTCCCTCTAAGCTGTGGAATCTTGTGAGCAAAAATCCTACTTTGTGAGCTACTGGCATTAAAGTTGTGAGCGAGCGATTTGGCTGCTGCATAAATTAGTCTGCTCCAGAGCCATCCTTCCTGACCTCAGACAAAAATCTGTGAGCTGGAGGCTAAAAAACTGTGAGCTAGCTCACACTAACTCAGCTTAGAGGGAACACTGGTTGCAACATGCCTCAGCAAGGGAAGGAAAGGTATGTCTCTTTAAATACCTTCCCTTTTCTTGCTGAAGTGTGCCGCTGCT